CGATTAACACTGTTGATTTTTCAATTCTGACTTAATTTTTTAATGTGTTAACCGATTAACCTATATGGTTAACCGATTAACACTAATACTTTTTATTTTGGAAATTAAAATTTTAATGTGTTAACCAATTAACCTATATGGTTAACCGATTAACACTATTAAAATGGTCAAAAATCAAAAACGAAAAATTAATTCAAATTTTGGAAAATTAAGTGTGGTAAATGTGTTATTTATGTGTGGTCAATATTTTCTTAAATGTCCAACTCAATATCCAAAGAAATCTTCTTCTTCTTCTTTGACTACATGTTTGGACTTCCAACCAAAACATTAAAACCCACTCAAATATCTCTCCATATATATTACCTTCACTTTACTCTCTCTTCCATCTCTCAAAACCCTAACTCCTTCAAGAACCCAGAACCCTCAGCATCTCTCAAACTTCATCCATGGCTTCATCTCACAAAGGCAAGGGAAAGTTACCAGAATATGACTCTGCATCTGAGGAAGACAACATTCCTATGGAAACTACCAAGAAATGTCGTATGGATTTCAAGGTTCGGGTCCGTCATATTCTACCGGTAAAGTATGTAAACCTTAAGGCTTTTCCTGCATCATCTTTTGATTTTCCTGCTCTACTCAAATTTTAAAAGATAGATAAGTTTGTTTCTGATTCTGGGAATTACTACCATGATTTGGTCAAAGCTTTTCTGAATAAGTTATCTGTGTACTTGAATGCCGACGATGAGCATATTATGGAAACCTCTGTTCGAGACTGCCTCCTGAAAGAGAATCTGTCAGATGTTGCTGCGAAGTTGAAAATATCATCCTCTGGCTACTTTCTCCGGAAAGGGGTTAACCACGTGGAAGGACCGTGGTCTAACTATGACAAGATGGAATACTACTACCAAATCTGCAGGTTTCTGAAGGAGACGGTTGTAGCAAATCAACTGACTGCTCGCATGTTATGTTATGCGAAGAATCTGATGGTTTCCGACTGGATGCTACACTATGTGATTTGCTACGTTTTGATTCCAAAGGATTCAAATCATGCTCAAATCAACGATTTGGAAATGCAGCTTTTATTCACAATCAAGAACAAAATCAGGGTAAACTAGATTCTTACAATCATGTACCATCTTCAACAACAGCTTTCTTTGTCGACACGTCTTCCATATGCAAGGCTGGTTTCTAGAATCCTTGAGTTGACAGATTTGGACCTTAACAGGGAACCATCTACCAAGATGAAACTGAAAACCAATGAGATAAATGAAATCACCATTGTGAAGAACACTGGAATTATTAAAGACGTTGACGGCACATATAAGTATGATGGCAAATGATCAGCCTCCAACCAAGCCTATCCCGTTCCCGAAGGAAGTATTACAAACGAGTTTCTCTACACCACTATGATGACCCAACATCGAGAAGCTATGAATTGTCACCGAGAAACCTCTCGAGCCATTGCTTCACTTTGCAACCTTATCCTTTCCTCCCAGCCTTCCAACCCCTGCACTGTTGAAGAAGAGGATGCAAATGATGAAGGTAGTGAAGAAGAGGAAGCAGAAGACGAGGATATGTCCAATGAAGATGTTTAAAAAAATATGTGTTTTTGTTGTTTTTATTGCTTTTCTTTCCGGATAATGTTTAAGTTGTTAAGTTGTAAATTTATTTTGTAAACCGTACAATGTTTGCTGCATTTTTTCTATGTGCTGCATTTTTATTTCGATCTATTATGTCGTGCTTGATTATATGTTGTCATATATGCCGATATTGCTTTGTTTGGTTTGAAAGCTCCTTCCTTTTTGCTAATGACAAAGGGGGAGAAGAGCTTGGTTGTCTAATATTTGTTTCTGCAGAATGTTTTGCCTCTGTTTAGATAGGGGGTTTCTGGACATAGGGGGAGAAACAAGCCAAGAATGGAACCAAACATCGTCAAAGATATCACACAGACTCAGTTGATTGTCATCATCAAAAAGGGGGAGAATGTAGAAGCACACTTCAATCTCAAGATTTTGATGATGTCAACAAAGACTTAAGCTCATTCCATGATTGCAAAAAGTCAAGCTTTCAAATTGATCAAGATACTTACACTATATACCCGTGGGGGTATATGTACTAAGAAGCTGCTTGCACTATATACCCGTGGGGGTATATACACTGAAGATGAAACCAGAAGCTTCTCTATTCTGAACTCTTCTAAAAAAGCAAGAGGTGCAAACATATCATCAATGGAATATTGTCAAGCACATCAAGCATCATTGGCAAATGATCATACAACTTCCAAGATTTGGACTCAAAGCTTCGGTATATCAATATTCACTCCTTTAATTGATATACAAGTGTTCAATTAATTTATCATATCAACATTTTGCATTTGCATGGTTTTAAAATCATTTGGAATTGGTATAACACTTTTAACTCAAGTATTTTTCTGAGTTTTAATAGTGTTAACCGATTAACCATATGGGTTAATCGGTTAACGGCCTCAAATTTTAAATTCTCAGGGCTAACGTTCAAGTGTTAACCGATTAACCTATATGGTTAACCGATTAACACTGAACGAATTTTGAAAAATTGTTTCTTTTAAAATTCAAATTTTATTTGATTGTTATACCTTTTCATTATTTGATTCATACTCATTATACCTTTTTGAAATGGTGTTTTGACTCATATAAATTCTGGAAATTTCAAATTGAAAAACACCTCCAATAATTTTCAAAATAATCAATAAATCAAATTCACTACTTTTCAAATATTTTCAAATATTTTCAAAAAGTGTTCATACTGTTCATACCATTTCATATCCAGAATTTTTGAACACTTGTATTGATATTGAAAAGTGAATTTTGATCAAAAGGAGAAGATCAATCTTTGTATTGATATTATTATTATATCACTCTCAAATTACAGAACTACAGAATTATTTCTATTGTGACTTGTGATCCAGGATTGTTGGACACAAGGGTTAGTGCTTGCAAGAAGATTGTTCTTGCACACTAAGTTGTTGAAATAGTTGTTAGATAGTAGGCCTCACCGGTTGATGGTGTGATAGGTTGTACATTCTAAAACTATAGTGAAAACTCTCTTTCATGTGGAAAGGGGAGTGGAGTACCTTCGGATTGTGAAGGGAACCACTATAAATCTCTGTGTTCATTTTTATTCTGCTTTTTACTGCTTTCATCATCAAGATCATGACCAAGTAAAATTCAAGAATATCGAAAAACCGGAAAAAGTTTTTAAAGCCTAATTCACCACCCCCTCTTAGACATACTCTAAACTTACAATTTTTACCCCCGCACATCTAAGACTTTAGTGCATGCACGAAGCCTTTGGATGATTGGGTTTTACATCCCAAGCATCCAACTATTTTGAACAATTTGGTTTAGCTATAGTCCAATCAACCATAAATCTTCAAATATGAAGTGCTTACATTTATAATGGTAGATGATGGATCTAAAATACATATTTTAGAAATGTCTCTTACATAGTGTACCAAAAACAAATTTCTCAAAAATCATAGTTTAGTAAGAAAGAATAAATCATAAAAGTTATACACTCCTCTATATAAAGCCAAACAACTTTTGTGAGTGTTATAAAATATAGATGCAAGACACTTAATAGTGACAATTAACATATTTAAGACTACAAGAAACAAAACTATCACAAATATATAAATAAATAAATAAAACAATGTTAAAGTCTTATGAAATAATGTAGGAAACAAGTCATAGAAATGAAGAAAAAAATGGTCATATCAATGGGGGCACACACATGTGATCTACAAAACTTTATTGAATTACAATATAATGCAAAATTGAGTTGACAAGACCTCAACACAGAGAGCCTATACGTAAAAGACACAACATACTCGTGAGCTCATATGCACCCATTTCTGTCCTTTTGTAGGTTTATACTTATAGGCTTTATGCATTTTCCCTTTTCATTTTTAACTTTCACTTTAACCCTTTAAAGGTAACATTCTCCTCCATCTTATCAATCAACACACTTTCAATTATTTCACACTTTTTTTCCTTTTCATCATAACAAGTTTAGCATTCAACTTTAACCTTAACTTAACCAAAAAAATATTACAAACATTAACATACATTAAAATCATCATTATCTAGTATTTAACAACTTTGAGTTTAATGTAAATGGTTGGCACACTTAGTGTGTGAGTATTCCTTTGATTTTTTCCTCTTCAATTTTTTTTTATAAACATAATCAATTAATTAAAAAAACACAAGGGATCTCAACCTTCACAACACAAAATAACACAACCAAAAAAAAATCCACTACAAAAAGATAGAAGCATTGATTTGTCACACTAACAAATACCTAAAATTTTTGACCAAAAATCACTTTTAGACAATAATTTAAGGATTCCAAAATATCCATATCCTCCTAATTCTTCAAATTCTTATTGAATATTCAATCTTGTAATATGCATAAGTATTGTAAATAAAAAAAATAAAAGTGGATGAAGTTTCTTCTATGGATAGAAGAGTTTTTAATATATAATCATAAGAAAGAATATAGAAAACGAACAAAAATCGGTAGAAATTAAATATCATCTGCGCGTAATTGCAGAAACTAATCATTCGAGCAAAGAAAATAACAATGAGCGACAAAATTCTATTTCTCAAAAAAATTTAACTATGTGTTGTGTATTCAAAGCTGAGTTCAAATTCAGAACTTATAGTTAAATTGATCGAGAACTTCCGATCAAAAAGATCTTGGATGTAGAAAAACAAAATTTGGTTAACAAGCATTAATTTGAACTTAGAAAACATACATTAATTGTTGAGGCATGATATGAAGGAAAATTGTCTCAAACATTTCTTTCTATGCTATTTACATAAGGAAAGGATAATCAAAAGCAAAATGCATATAGCCCTTAAGTTCTCATCATCTTCATGAACATGAACAAGCTAAAGCTATTTGAATCTAGAATCCTCAAGGCTTCAACCAATGAAGATCTTCCATGAAACTTATAACTTTTAGTCATGCCAACAAAGAAGCATAACAACACATCTTCTAATAATGTATAATCTTCCTTTTTGTTCTTTGAGATACCCTCCAAGCTTTTTGCATGAAACCTTCTTCTTTGAGCCTCTAATATTTGAATCACTATCACTCATCTTTGAATACTATAACTCTTTTTCTTTGTTCTTCTTTCTTGTGTGGAGAGAGAGAGAGAGAGTGATGAAGTTGAATACTATTGTTGAAAAGATGGAAGCACTTGTTGAAGAAGTGATTTTGTTGAAGGGAGCTTCAAAAAGGGTTATTATATAGAGAAAAGAAAAAGTGGTCCATGGTACAAAATAATATGTCTATAGGCCCCCCAATTCAGATTCCAAACCCCATTCTCTCTGCACCAACATTTATGTGGTATCAACCACCAAGATAACTGGTCGGCCATTGAGTTTAACAAATTTGTATAACTTAATTAGGGTTAGCTAAATAAAAATATTATTCTTAATCATGGATTTTTGAGCTTTCCATAGTTTCTTGACCATGTTATAAGAATCTCATAATTTGGGTGAGAATAGGAAGCTTCCTAGTATGTACTATACTCCACATATTAGGAATGTTAAGAATGTATAATTAAAATAACTTTGAAGTTTTTAAATAATTGAATAAATATATTTAATAAATATTTTTAATATATTATATTAATTATCTCTCATGAAATAAGTGTCACATTACTTAATAATTTCACATAAATATAATAAATAAATAAATAAATAATTTTACAAACTTATCTTTATTGACTATCAATATATTAATTCATGTATTAATTGAAAGATAAAGAGTGAAATTGCATTCAAAATGTATTTTAAAAAACTATATTTTAATAAGTTTTTAAATAATTGAAGAAATATATTTTAATATAATATTTTTAATATATTATATTAATTATTCTGTCACGAAATAAGTGTCACATTACTTAATAATTTCACATAAATTAAAAAAATATAATAAATAAATAAATAATAATTTTACAAACTTATCTTTATTGACTATTAATATATTAAATATTATTATGAACAATTCATGTATTAATTGAAAGATAAAGAGTGAAATTGCATTCAAAAAGTATTTTAAAAAACTATATTTTAATAAGTTTTTAAATAATTGAATAAATATATTTTAATATAATGTTTTTAATATATTATATTAATTATTCTGTCACGAAATAAGTGTCACATTACTTAATAATTTCACATAAATATAATAAATAAATAAATAATAATTTTACAAACTTATCTTTATTGACTATCAATATATTAAATATTATTATGAACAATTCATGTATTAATTGAAAGATAAAGAGTGAAATTGCATTCAAAAAGTATTTTAAAAAACTATATTTTAATAAGTTTTTAAATAATTGAATAAATATATTTTAATATAATATTTTTAATATATTATATTAATTATTCTGTCACGAAATAAGCAATAAGTTCACATAAATTAAAAATATATAATAAATAAATAAATAATAATTTTACAAACTTATCTTTATTGACTATCAATATATTAAATATTATTATGAACAATTCATGCATTAATTGAAAGATAAAAAATGAAATTGCATTCAAAAAGTATATTTTTTTTTAAATAATATTTTATAAATATATTGCTTATAAAATTGTTTTAAAATATTGAAGGAATGAAATTTTATTATAATTTAGAGAAATTGCATTAAAAAATTTTGAATTTCATTTAAGTTACCACGTTGTTTAATAACTATAAAAGCAAACCAATTTAAGTCACAAACATGCAACATGAAATTTCCTCTTCAAATTAGGTTAAAGAGTTTTGATATCTACTAAGTTGTAAGCTTTTTAACACCATATAGTATTAGTACAAAAGTTAGGTGAAAAGAAAAATCAGTGTGTTAAATTTGGTCTTCACCTATTTTTCCTACCCTAAATAAAATTAACAGGTGCCAAAGTTTTATAGATTGTCCCAAAAAACTGTAAATGTAATGTAGGGTAATAGTCAAAGTTAGGCATGTGATTTCAAATATGAGATATAAAGACAAGTGAAGTGTGTGTGTGTGTCAGATTAGGTTATCTTTAAGGACATTCAGTATAAATGTAAAAATGTATATAGTTTGTGGCTCCACAAGTTATGGCTTAATGTGCTTAATCGTGTGGCAATGACTAAGATTTCTGACAGTCTTATTTTTTTTTCATGTTGGAAATAATTGTGAGTTGCAATCTGTATCTAAGTGATGATTAATGAGATTTGTGTAAGCATAAATGATGGGAAAGAATGGGAGTATGAATTTATGGCGGAATAATTTTTTATAAAGTTTTTGTTGGGATAAACGATGTCAAGAATAAAATAAAACGGGGAGAAATTAAAGTTGGTTTAAAGGATTATTCATATTTTTATTGAGTGTTAAATGATTACAACATGCACATTTGACTCTGTCAAATTTTGAAACTATCTCTGCCGAATCAGGAGTCGGCTCAATACTATAAATCTCCACTTTGGAATAAACTCTAAAAATATTAAGAAAACAAACTAGTTATCTTCATGTTGATTTATCAACTGCATACAATGGAAGAACTCATTGTTTGGTAATGACTTGGTGATCATGTTAGTAACATTGTGATCAGTTAAAACCTTCATCACTTTGACTTCTGCCATTTAGATTTTCTCCCTGACGAAATGCAACATAACATCAATGTGTTTGGTTCTCTCATGGTAGGCTGGATTCTTCGACAAATGTATGACACTTTGACTATCACATTTAACAGTGTTTGCTTGACCTTGAAGTTTCAGTTCTTTAGAAAACCCTTCAAGGCATAATGCTTCTTTTATGACTTTAATGAGGGCAATATATTCAACTTCAGTGATTAATAAGGCTACAATCTTCTAAAGTGTCGCTTTCCAACTAATTGTTGTACCAAACATAGTGAAAACATATCCAGGAAGAGATTTTATGGTATCCATACATCATGCATAGAAAGAGTCAACAAATCCTTTGACTTCAACTTCGTTATCATCGCCTTTGGATCCACCATAAACCTGAACTCCCCACAAAGATCCATTTATGTATCTTAGGATCCATTTCAAGGCTTGTCAGTGCATCTTTCCAGGGTTTGCCATGCACCTGCTTACAAGGCTAACTCCATATGATATGGCCTGATACATACCATATCATACATCAAAGAGCCCATTATAGTAGCATATGGGATGTCTTCATATAGACTCTTTCAACTTCAGAACTAGGAATTTGAACTATACTCAACTTGAATTGCTGAGTTGTTGGCATTATAATAGGTTTTGAGTTCGATATACCAATCCTGTCAAGAATCTTCCTTAGATATGAATCTTGAGATAAGCGTGATTTCGAATGCTTTCTATATCTCTTGATGTCGATACCTAAAACCCTGGTTGTAGCTCTAAGGTCCTTCATTTTGAATTGCTGATTAAGTTCAACCTTCACCCTCATTACTTCTTCGAAGAGGTTGTTTTCTATGAGGATGTCATCCACATTGAGCAATAGGATGACAAGTGAATTTTTTCGGTGAGAACCTGAAATAAACATAGTGATTGAAGTTGCTCCTTGTGAAACCTATGTGTGTCATGAACTTGTCAAATCTCTTTTTCCATTGTTTAAGAGATTGTTTTTGGCCATATAGAGACCTATTCAACTTGCACGCATAATCCTCCTTACTGTTTTCTCCATACCCTTCAGGTTACTTCATCAGAATTGTTTCATCTAGATCACCATATAGAAAAGAAGTCTTCACATCCACCTGCTCCAATTCTAGGTCAAACCTAGCCACCATGGCTAGAAGCATTCTAATGGACCTATGGTTTTAAGGCACATTTACAACAAACTCCAACTTGACTTTAAAATGTGTTGATACCAATCAACAACATTGCTGCTCTCTACCAAGTTGAAACTTTAATCAATAACTTTGATCAAATTCAAGCAACCCTTGAATTTTGATCTCGCAACTTGCATCCACTTGTTCTCAATTACCCTTTTCATCCTAGGTAATTTAACAAGCCTGCAAGTATGATTTTTCAAACACCCTTGACTCCGCCTGTTTTCAAATTCCTTCTTGAAGGTTTTTCCTCTTTTATTTTGCAGTCCTTCAGCCACATTAAAAACATAATATCCAAGGCTAGCATAAACGTCCCTTTGAGATGCTACAATAACCCTTCTTAACTTATCATGGGTCAAATGTTAATCAGAGATCTCTGTAACCGTTCCCTCACTACTGCTAGCATCCATAGTAGGAAATTCCACCTCAAACTGAGTTTTCTCTATTATAGTTTCTCCCTTAATTTTCACTATTCTTCTTATGAAGAAATTGTCTACCAACCAAGTAAGTTATTTTAACCGCATCTCTTCACCAAAAACTCAAAAATAACTCAGCGGTAACATGCATTTTTATCCCTTGATTTTTGCGAAATTCATTGTACTCCTCTGAAACTTTCTCAAGGCATTCATAACGCCTTAAACTCAAATCACATAGCTCTTCCTTCTCATGAAATCCTCCACTAGTTAACGATGAATGAATAATAAAATTTGAACCTTCTAAAATATATAGACCATATATTTTAGACCCTCTAACAATAATCAATTCATCACGCAAAATCTTTAACACTCAATGTTCAACTCTAGTACAATAACCTAGATCATCAAACATAGTTATAGATAAAAAATTTCGCTTGCGTTCTGGAACATACCTCACATTGTGAATAAGAAGTTCACGATCATTAAACATTTTAAATCTGACTGTACCAATACCATGAACGTTGCATGCCTTATTATTACCAAGGCGAACTACCCCACCTTGCACCATCTTCAAAATTTTAAAATATTCTATTCTTAGACACATGTGATAAGAGAAACCTGAGTCAATGACCCAACTATCTTCAGTTTCAAAACTCGATACTACTAGTGTTTCGGCATCCTTATAACTTTCCTCGCCCAATGCAACTACAACTTGAACATAATCTTCATTGACCTTTATTTTAGGACAATCCCTTTTAAAATGACCGATTTTTTGACAATTAAAATATTTTACCTTTGACGTGTCAGGCCTCTTTGATTTGGACATCCCTTTACGCTCACCTCCTCCTCTTGACACATTTAAGCCTTCAC